CACCAAATCTCAAAAACACTCACCTTCAAAACCCCAAAACCCCAAAACCCCAAAACCCCAAAACCCCGAAAATTTATTGCAAAATTGAATTTCCTGATAGATTTTACAACATGAGATCTTCCTGGGCTAGAACTTACGGTAGATCAGTACATAAGCTTGTTGGTCAAGGACAAGATTGGCAGTGACATTCTTACATTCCTTATCATCATACAGAACCCAGTTTCCATATGCATCCTTAACAAAGGTGACATAATGACCTTTGAGGACAGATGTTCCCTTGTGAACAATGACACCTATGAGTTCATATTTTTCAAGATGTTTGTAATCATTCATTTCTTTCTTCTCCTCTTCCGATTGTTCTATAATATTGACCTTGACTCCGTTCTTGGCTTTAGCTTTGGATTTCTTTTTCTTTGCCTTCTTTTCTTCAGGGGCAGATGCCTTCTTTGCTTCTAAGGCATCCTTTTTAGCCTTTTCAGCTTTCTCTTCTTCTTTTCTGATATTCTTACGTTCTTCTTGGAGTTCAGGGGCGAAGTACTCATCTTGGAGCTCAAGGATATCAGGATAATATATTGTTTCCCCTGTCTTAACAGCTCTGTCGGTGTATATGAACCTTTTCACGTGCAGAATCAGAATGTTTGGGATAGTCAGTAAAGATTGTTTCTTAGTGGCATAGGCATCTTTCTTTCCAAATTTGAACCCTTCTAGCTCCTCTGGTTCAAAGTACTGCTTCAAAGAGGAATCTATGGAGCATTCCATTGTGATTGGGAGACTTAGGTACAGATATGGCTGTACTCTTGCGTTGTTGCTGTGTTTTCCTTCAACATTAATGTCTTCTCTCATTCATCCACCGAATATCTCAAAAATAGGGCTATTTTTGATAAGATCTTCTGCCTTGTTCTTGATTTTAAGCTTTTTCTTTCCAGTCTCTTCCCATTCTTCGGCAGCAGGTCCGACACTAGTGTTCTTAAGAGATTGGCTTTTGGTGGAGATGCCTACCTTTTCCAAGATTTCGTTAAGCTCATTATTCAGAGTGTCGAGCATTAGTCCAAGGAATTCATGACAATCTTGTTGCTGCTTGTCAGGGTTGAAGTTCATGAGTAGAGTTTTGAAAATCTCTTCTACATTGATGACCTTATCTCCATAATGAAGCATATTTGTGATTCCTCCTGTGTCAGGACTAAAACATTTGGCTAATTCAAGGAAATTAGCAATCAACAGGTTATCATCAGAGTTCCTGTCAAAAATGTCTTTCAATAAAGGATTTGACTCAATCTGGTCATTAAGGTGGGCCAAGAAGTTGTAGAAAACTGGAATAGAGTACAAACTCTGAAGGATCACATTCATAAAACAGTTGTTTGACCTAGGTTAGATCAGATGGGTTATCTTACCTGTTGAACATTCCCTTCTGTAGCTTATCCAGCTTGATGTTAGAAACTTCAAAATCAGGATCGTTACATAATTTAACAGATTTTTCTGTCATTAGTTGCTCCTTTACAATTGTATTTTTAGACATCTGGGGTTTGAGGATATTAACCATTAATTTCTTATTATTTTTGGGAGCCTTCTTTTTCTTCTTTCTCTTCTTATTAGGGTTCTTGAGGTAATAAAGCTCTTCCTTTAATGAGTCGATAAACTTCTGTTTTTCCATAGTCTCTTCGAGATTCCCCCAGTCAAACATCATGGACTCCTCTTCTTGAATTTGCTTCTCTAGGATTTCTATGGATATGAGTGGATAATTTACCGATATTTTTGGCCCTTTTCTCCTTTTCTTCTCTCTTTTTACGCTCTTCTTCGGTTTCTTCCTTCTTGTCTTCTTCTGGTGCTTCTTGGGTGGCTCCTTCAGGTGATTCTTCAGGGGCATTTTCAGCTGGAGATTGGTTCTCGATGGGGATATTTTGCTTATTTTCCTCCATATTTAGCTCCTTTCCTTCAACATTTGTTTCTTCTTTAGCAACCTCTGCTGTTGAGGAGGGTTCAGGTTGAATTGGCTTTTGTTTCTGTTGGACTTTTTGGATAGTTTCTTGAGGAGCAGGAGCTTCAAAATCTGGTTCCATGGCAGTGCTTGCTTGGGGGATTTCATTAACTTGCTTTAGATTAGGATAAAATTTCTACCTTAGTCTCTTCTACAATTGGTTTTGGAACAGGAGCTTTCTTCGGTTTCTGTTTATTTTTCTTCCCTTTTCCTTTTTGTTTACTTTTTTTAACTGGCTTTGGTTGTGCTGAAGAAGCTGGTGCTGAAGATTGGAGAAAATCTAAAGAAGGAAATTAGATATTATTTCAACATTTAAAATTCTAATTTATACAGAATAAATCGAATTATGAGGCTTAGTCACCTGGTATTTCATCTCCCCATGCTCCCATGTAATCCTCATTCGAGGCATTCTTAGAATTCTGATCGCCTATAAATTAGCTTTGAGTGTGTTTACCTTCCATTTTTAAATTGAGGTTAATGAATAAATCAATTATTGTAAAAATTTGGGGTTTTGGGGTTTTGGGGTTTTGGGGTTTTGGGG